ATTTCATTAAAATTACTAGAAGTTACTAGCTGGGGTTGAGAAAATACTTAGAAATGAAAAACTCTAGGACTGTTGAAAAGCAAAAAGACAAAGCTAAAAACTAGTAAGTTTAGGACAGTCAACATTTCAGATGAGGTGTCACATTTTTCTAGTGTTTGCTGGTTTTGTTTTTATTTTCCCTTGACCTGGAACTCCTCGACAATATTTTGAAACTACTTTATGCACAATACAATCTTCCAAAGTAAACTCTCCTAATTTTGAGAAAGAACTATGGAACTTAAAACTAGTTACAATGAGTTATTTTCACCTTCTTAGCAATAAAAAGAAAATTTGGACTCCCGGTTAAATAGATGGAACTCATATTTTCATCTTTACTCAAAATGCCACCCCTTCCCAAGACATTTTCTGATCATTTATCTAAAATCGGTATCACTTTCTTCTAATTTTTTCCTAGCATTTATCATTAAATGACAGCGTATTTTAGCCATTTATTCATTTTTTTTTATTGCTTCTGTCCTCCACTAGACTATTAGGTACACGAGGCATGAGCTCCATGTCTTACATGGGGGTGTGAATGTGTATGTGTGCATATATATACACATCCACATGCACACTCACACACACTGTATCTGCAGGAAGGCCTGGTTCACAGCAGGCACTCAATAAATATTTGTTGAATGAATTTCTGCTTCCTGAAGAAACCCTATTTCAATGATGATAAAGAAAAAAATAGGTTTAAAGCCATACAGGCAAAGAAGAGTACCTGACAGAGAATGAAATACATAGAATTCTGCAAGATGGAAAGGAGAGGAAGGAGTTGTAATTCACTAAGTAGAGCAGAGAAATCTGAAACCTGTTTTTGTGCAGAGGAAGATGCTGTTGATGTTTACAAGCTAGCCACTGGACCCCAATAACCTCAGAAAGACTTAGAAATCAGAGGAACTAAGTACTACTCCTTGAGTGAAAACAGAGGAACAACTGGATACTCAAAATCCACCTCACCCTGAGCTGCCATGTGCTGCCATCCTTAGAACTGAACCCAAGGCTCCAGATTTAATGGGGCCAATTGAGTAACCTCCACAATTACTGAAAAAAAGACATACATAAGATATGTGACTGTGAAATGTAACATCATCAGGCATAGAAAATAACTAAAAAGAAAAAAATCCCATCACATCCTAAAGGATCTGGACTAAAAGATCAAATTTCTTAGGAGCAACATTAGAAACTATTCATAGAAGCCAGGGTAATATTTTCATAATTGTGAAGGAAAATAACTTTCAGAATTTTATATATGGCCAAATATAAATAAAGTGAGTGGATAAAAGAAGTATTTTTAGACATGCAAAATCTCAATTTATCTCCTATTCCCTCTTTTTCAAATAGCTACCAGCCACGTGGAGGACAGGTGGCTCAAGCCTATAATCCCAGCACTTTGGGAGACTGAGGTGGGAGGATTGCTTGAGCCCAGGAGGTTGAGACCAGCCTGAGCAACATAGCGAGACCCCATCTCTACAAAAAATAAAAATAAAAAAACCTAGCCAGGTGTGGTTTTCCCAAGTAAACCCTGTCTCACCCAAAAACATCTGGAGACTTTACATAGACCCAAGCTATATGCTCTAACAGTCACAGTAAACCGTAGTCCTAGCTACCTGTGTGCCTGAAGTCCTATTTGGGAGACTGAGGCAGGAGGATCCCTTGAGCCCAGGAATTCGAGGTTGTAGCGAGCTATGATTGAGCCACTGCACTCCAACCTGGGTGACAGAGTGAGACCTCATCTCTAAAAAAAACAAACCAAACCAAACCAAAACACGGGTACCAAAGAATATACTCTATGAAAACAAGGGTGTAACAACAAAAAAGGAAGATGTGATGTTTAAGTAAGGATAGAGGTAAAGGGATTCGCTAGGATGAGATTTATACATTCATTCTAGAGAGGAGCCATAGCTGAGACAGGAGTAAGTACCCGGAGAGATCTAGGAGGGGCTCTCTAGGAAAAAAAATGGAAATAAGTTATAACTAGTCTTTGTGTTCACTCTTTTGCTACACAGGCCTTCCCCTTCCCTCTTTTAAGGAAAAAGAAAAAAGTAATAGTTCAGGCCCTGTGACTCTACCATTTGGTTAAGAATAAAATGTGTAGGCTCTGGTAACACTGTTATTCATGGTTCAAAACACAAAGAGAAAAAATTAGTATTTCTAAAAATCCCATACCTTTTCCAATATCGACACCTAAGCGGGTTCGGGCAAAATCTAGAGGATATACTACACATAAGGATGTTGCTCCAGCAGCTCCACCAGAAGCCAGGTTTGCCAAAAACCACCTCCAGAACTGAAATATATTAATTAAAAAGCGGTTTTTAAACTATTGATTCTAACTGTTGAAAATAGTCAGTTAAATTTTTATAAATGTTAAAAAACAAGATTTACAAGCTGCTTTTATAAGGTAAACAGCTATAACACATTTCACATTATCTAAAATAGTTCTCTTCATAACCATTTAGCCTTTGTTTCTCACCAAGCAGTTTGGGAGATATAGTTTAGATGCTGACATACTGAAATCCCAGGATATTTTAATGTCCTCTACCAAAAGCAGCCCAAATTAGCAAAAGAGGTCACATAATTATCTCTTTACACTGCATACATTTTTTGCTAGTAATAGTGTTCACTATGATTAAAATGTCAGCACATATGGAGGCTTTAGTTATGTCCTTTGTTTCAGAAGAGGTAGTAAAGTAGTACTTTATGATGCCCCAATTTTACTTTGTAATTTAAGCAGAATTAAATTTAAATAGCATGTTCTCTCTCTTTATA